AGGAAACTGAAATTTACACCTTGCCTGCCTTGTGAATTCCTTCTAAACTGTAATGAATTGTCCTTGAGCTTGTTTGGGTATATGGATGCCAGCGACTGGGGCAAAGCCTTTATCCTAACAGCCCAGACTCTTTGGGTATATGGATGCCAGGGGCTGGGGTGAAGCTTCCAGCTTAACAGAGACCATGGTGGTGGTGGTGGTGGTGGTGGTGGTGGGGTGTTGCTTACTGGCTTGCTTTTAATGGCTTGCTAAGCCTGCTTTCAAATAGAATCCAGAACCACCAGCCCAGGGATGGCCCCATCCACAATGGGCTGAGCCCTCCCCCATCACTCACTAATCAAGAAAATGTCCCACAGGCTTGCCTACAGCATGATCTTAAGGAGGCATTTCCTCAACTGAGACTCCTTTCTCTCTGATGACTCTAGTTTGTCTGGTTGACACACAAAAATCAGCCAGCATAACGACCCTCATTGTAACACACCACTGGTTTAAAGACATAAGGAGAAGCCAGTTTTTACACTAAAGTCCTTAAGAGGAGGTCCCTATCACATCACATCTTACAACTTGGAGTTCTTATTCTAGTTCGTATCAACCTCTTGTTAGACCCCCGGAAAAACTCTGGTATCCAGGGTCCCAGGCCATGACCTCGCTCACCCCAATCACCAGGCAGATTCGAGAGCTTGATGCAAACTGCATGAGACTTTATTATTTTTTAACCAGCTAACCCCATGTTAGCTTGGGTCTTTCACCCACCCGCCATGGCAGATGGCTAGCAAAGACCCCTCGAACCGGCTGCCGAGCGACCTTGTAGGGCAGCATGAGGGGAGTGTCTAGGGGTACGCACAGGCTCAGGATTGGTGTGCCTCCAGGCTTGGAGGGCTTGTCCTGTGTTGATTGGCCAACTGGTTGTTATGGCCCATAGGCCCTTCCAGGGTGGTTGCTATGCTCTGCGCATCATTGCTGTGCACTTGTCCATAAAAGCACACCCAGAGCTGTAAAGCATAGCGCCGCCAGCTAACTTCTGATTGGTTCCTTGTCACGAGGCAGGCACCTAACCTCTAGTGACTAAGACAAGGTCATAGCTACACATGTTACTGTCATGGCTGCCGAAATGCGGGGCTGGTCCCTTCACTCTCAAGCAAAAAGAACCTTGTGTGTCCCTTTTGGAAATGAGGCATGGTGGCAGGTTGCTGTCTTTACAAATGTACACTTCCTGGGTACTAATTTTGCTTGGTAGAAAGTCCCCGCCTTAGTTGTCCCACCTACCAACAAGGGCTTTGGTTGCATGAGCATTTCTTGAAACTGGGAGGCCCATGGTGGTGATCTTGCCTAACATCACCTTTCTGTAGGGTGCTCATTTGAAAACAGACATTCACCTCCCTCCCTAATTCCCCATCAGCATGTCATGTGTTCTCATACACCCACATATATTTTTATGTAAGGCACAGATCAGCATCAAGTGTGTCTCCTCTACCTTATCCTTTGAGATAGAATCCCAGAACCCGAAGCTTCGAGTCCCAGAGCATGGAAAAGAAGTAACCCAGGCCCAAGCCACATTCACTCAGTCCTCACACAAACTCCACATTCTGACTTCCTCTCTCAAGACACTGTATTCCTGTCGCTTGCTTGCTTCTGGTCTCCCTGGAAGCACACAAACACTCCATTGAGCTCCAGTAGGCTGGATCAGCCTGGGGCAGGTTTTGAAATTGCAGTGGACCAGCAGGAAAGTTCAGAACTGTAGGCAAGGTGCTCAAGTTAGAGGCAAAATCACAGCTGCAAAGACTGCAGTCTGTTAATTACCAATGTGGAAGGAAAATGAGAAGAGGTTTTGGTTTTTATTTTTAAATTATGTTGTATTTATTTTCTGTGTGAAGGGGAACACTGTAATGTGATGCACTCATGGATGTCAGAGGATAATCTGCAGGAATGAGTTCTCTCCTTCCATCACAAGAGTTTCTGGGATCCAAATCAGGTAGTCAAACCTGGCAGCAGACACCTATATCCCTTTGTGGAATATCCTAGTAAAGGGACCAGCTCCCCATTTCAGCAGCCATGACAGTAACACGTGCTCACCATGACCTTGTCCTAGTCACTAGAAGTCAGATGCCTGCCTCGTGGCAAGGAACCAATCAGAAGTTAGCTGGCGGCGCTATGCTTTACAGCTCTGGGTGTGCTTTACAGACAAGTGCACAGCAATGACTCGAAGAGCATAGTAACCACCCTTGGAGGGCTTATGGGCCATAACAACCAGTTGGCCAATCAACACAGGGCAAGTCCTCCAAGCCTGGAGGCACACCAATCCTGAGCCTGTGCGTACCCCTAGACACTCCCCTTACGCTGCCCTACAAGATCTCTCTGCAGCCCCTTCGAGCTGTCTTTGCTAGCCATCTGCCATGGCGGGTGGGTGAAAGACCCGAGCTAACATGGGGTTAGCTCGTTAAACAACAATAAAGCCTCATGCAGTTTGCAGCAAGTTTTCAAATCTGCCTGGTGATTAGGGTGACCGCAGTCCTGGGCTGGGACCCCGGAGGCATGAGTTTTCCTAGGGTCAAACACTAGGATCCTTAATTTTTATTTATTTATTTTGGGGTTTGTTTTTTTCAGAAAGTATCTCTCTCTGTGTAGCTTTGTATGTTCTGGAACTTGCTATATAGACAAAGCTAGACTGGAACTCACTATATAGCCTAGGTTGGCCTTACCCTCCTGACAATATTCCTGCCTCAGATTCCTGAGTGCTGGGATTATAGGTGTGAGATACCAAGTCTGGTTCATAAAGAGAGTTTGCTACTTATGGCTGGTTCTTTTGAAAAGCAGGCCTTGACAGGTGAAGTTCAGCACAAAGGAAACAAAGAAGAGCAAGGGTCTTTTCTCTCCTCCTCTTCTGGTTTAAAGCTGTGAGTTTAAAAAATGGCCTTATTGGGGCTGGAGGGTTGGCTCAGAGGTTAAATGCACTGGCTGCTCTTCCAGAGGTTCTGAGTTCAAATCCCAGAAACAACAAGGTGGCTCACCTTGTTGTTCATCTATAATGAAATCTGGTGCCCTCTTCTGGCCTGCAGGCATACATGCAAGACAGATCACTGTATACACAAAAATAAAGAAATCTTTAAAATAAAAAAAAGGGCTTATATGCGGGACATGGTAGCGCACACCTTTAATCCAAGCCATGAGCCACAGGTAAGACGGATCTTTGTGAGTTCAAGGTCAGCCTAGTCCACAGAATGAGTTCCAGGATAGCCAGGACTACATAGTGAAACCCTGTCACAAAAATAAGTAAACAAATAAATAGCCTTATTCTTTTGTCCCTTCCACTCTATCTATAACATATTTAAGACATATTCAAATTCTCTTTATTATTACTGTATTCAAAGCAATTTTTGGTTCCCTAATTGGGACAACAGACAGAACCTCAGACAATGAAAATGAATCTCAGAATTTAGTGATAGGTTCAGTGGAGAACAGAAGACACATCTAAGTTCTCAGCGCCTCATAAACTCAAAGCTAGCCTGCCACAGGTGTGTGATGCCCTCAATAGCAGAGCTTTCTTTGGACTGCCGGCTGCTGAATAATGACACTGAGACTTATTATTTATGAACATTTGGCCTTAGTTTAGGCTTATTCACAAGTAACTCTTAAAACTTAAATTAACCTGTGTATATTAATCCAAGTTCTGCCATGTGGCTCGGTTACCTCTACTCAATACCATATGCCCTACTTCCTTCCCATGTGGCAGGCAATCTCCCATGCCTCAGATTCTTTCCCAGAGTTCTGGGAGTCCTCCCTATTATCTCCTGCCTAGCCAATCAGCTATTTATTAAAACAATCAGAAAGTGCCTTAGACAAGCGAGGAAGGACAGAGACACATCTTCACATGGTATACAAAAAAATTATCCCAACATTCAGTACACTCTACTGGAGCTCACTTATCTATAAAATCAGACATTTGCGACAGGTGGTGGTGGGGCACACCTGTAATCCCAGCTCTCGGAAGGCAGAGGCAGGAGGATCTCTGTGAATTCGAAGCCAGCCTGGTCTACAAAGTGAGTTCCAGGACAGCCAGGACTGTTACACAGAGAAACCAAGTCTCAAAAAACAAACAAAAAGGTCAGACACTTTCAGTAGTACTCAGAGGAATCCTTCCCAGCTGTTCTGACAGCATGACTATAGAACAAGAAGGCTACTGGGGCACAGCTGGCTAGAGGAAAGCAGAAAAGCTTAACAGTCCTTTCCTCAGACAATGCCTATGTGGCTCCTAGGCCATGTCCAGGGCTCAATGGCTGATGGGAGATCACCCGGCGTTTGTAAGGAAGCTGGACTGGAACTTCCTGTTGGGAATCCTACAGGCACCAGTTTACAGCTGCATGAGTGAGTTGGCAGTGAGGGCAGCTCTGTGGCCCATGCTTTCTAGCTCCAGAAAACGACACTTGCAAGTCAGCTCTGAAGGCTGACTGACAGGCTGCAAAAACAAATCAAAACAAAATACGACTTCTCATTTTGTGTCCCTTGGTAGACCTATGCCGACATGCGGGACAACTCTAGGAGGAGACAGGTAAATAAATTGACCAGAGCAACCTAAGGGGATGAAAAAAGACAAGAAAGGGGGAAGGAAAAAGTTCTGGCACAATGACATCAAGGGCCCAATGTGACAAAAGCCTCTAAAGGCAGCACAAGAAAATAGACAACCTTCTCCAGACTTCCTGAGAAACTCTGGAAAGAGTCCTGTAGCCTGCATAGCAACACACTTTCCTGGGCTCACAATAACCGTTACCACAAGTTCAAGACGGTGGAGAGCTTCACGACCCCTTAGGGTCGGGCTACTCAGGAGATACCAGTCGAATGCTTGAAAAATTGTGTAGTTTGGCTCTGGAGAACCGATTGTTATCTAATGATACTCCTTACGGGTGACTCCAGCTCCTTCACGTTGGGTGCTTGGCCATCCCGACTTGGCGCTTGGATGTCTGTCTTCCAATCCTGGACCCACTACGAGTCCCCAGACAAGCCGTGTACTTGCTGAGAGAAAGGGTCCTATGGGCGACCATCGGCTCCGGAGCAAACCTGGAAAACAACCAGGAGTGGTAACTTAAGATACCAAGGACGCTCAGGGGGCCGTAGCAATGCTGTCCTGCTTTCATCCACGCACTGCACAGCGCCGTGCAGCCTACACCCCGGAAAGTCCCAGAGTCCCGAC